CCCCCCGGGACAATAGAGCATAGAGATAAGAAATACAAACCTGTGCTGGGTTCAAATTACTCCAAGGTTGTTGCAACGTTGCCAGCTCCCACAAAATAACACCAAAGCTGTATACATCAGATTTCTCATTTGATGGTTCATCACGAAGAACTTCAGGTGCCATCCATTCCGGCTATTCACAAGAAGAACCAGATAAAAAAAATTCATAGATGACATGAAGTGACAAAGACAAGTGAAAGTTAAATAAATCATATGTTGAATCAAGCACTTACAGTCCCAGCAGCAGACTTTGATGAGAGAAATGTATTCGCTTTTAAACGAGAAAGACCAAAATCACAGACCTGATGAAGACATCAGACAGGTCAAGGACATTCAACATCTTTGTATAAAGAGAAGGCTTTAATAATATAAGAGTACAAAATATGCATAAATAAACACCATAACAGAACTCAATTATCTATCATAAACAACTTTCATTAAGACTTGTTCCAGAATGCAGTAGAGTCAGATTGGATGCAGAACTTACGTTGTATTGTCAGCATAAGCATTATAGACACAAACAACTAAGGCCACACTACATTACGTGTGCTGCTAACCTAAAAGGCTATGAAAAACAGACCCTCCTAAAAGATTACTGACATTAAGCAATGACATGTATCAAATGCATCCCTTTCTTCGTTTGTTGCTTGAGAACAGCAAAACAGTTCTCATCAATCAGATCACAAGAAATTTCCCTACAGGCATGTTGTAAAGAAATAAGATAATCAAGATATTAGATATCGTTCAAGGAACAGCCCAGATACATGCTTCTAATGTAAGAGGAAAGATATCTAATACAAGTCATTAGTGAACTAAATAAACTGGTTTAATAAGAGATTTTGGATAAGAGGGAAATGACATAAATATGAAACATAATGAATAATGAACCAAAAAACAACACAACAACTACTACTTTTTTTTGAAAAGGAAAATGCGTAAATACGACACAACTACTACTATTATCCCTCAATCCCAAAGTAGTGGGGGTCAGCTGTATGAATCCTCTATATCCATTCTGCTCCATTTGATGATATTTCATTCCAATACAGAATACATCCATTCTGCTCTATTGGGCCACGTTTCGCTCCACTACACAATAATTTGTTTGTTGACGCAAATTAAGGGTTTTTCTAGGACTAGAAGTTTCCTTTATCTCACACTAATCTCAATAGTAAAACTAAAATATACTAAAAACCTTCACCCTCATAGAGTTCTAATATCTGGAAATATGCTGCATCCAGAACATAAAAAAAATAAAATTATGATAGGTGTCCAGCACATTAACATGGCGCTAGATAAACAAATACCAGCATCCTTGCCACGTGGACATTGAATTACCACGATTCCAGATGGTCAATGTCCATTCGGATGACAAAAGAAACCTCTGACTCGCACGTGCCTACAAAACCAGAAGTATAATGTACAATCTTCAAGATATATGCTGTCTGTTGCAATTTAATCCTCCCCACAACATTACACGCCGTTAGTTCTCCATTATCTGAGAAATCTGACATAAGCTTTACCCCTCCAAACTTGCTTTTTGTTCTTCAATAATTATGCATAAGTATATACAAGTTTTTGACACTAAGACATCCTCTCCATTTTTCTCTCCTTTAAACCACACTCTGACAGTGCAAGTCAAGAACTGTATCAATAGAAAAAAGATGGATTGCAATTTTAACATGTGCCGTAGAGGTAATTATTCTCACCTTCACTGTGTATTTTTTGTCCACTAAAAGATTTGGAGATTTCAAATCTCTATGAACGATGGGAGGATTGCGTTTATGTAGATAATTCATCCCCTTTGCCTGCACAAGATGATATAAGGAGATGAGCCCCAGATTTAAAATAAAATGAGGCAGAGCAGGGAAGTATTCATACCACATCATATGCCATAGACAACCGACGCCTTTCATCCAAAACCTCCCTAGCACCAGGTTTATGAAGAAGTCTATATAAGCTACCTCTGAAATACATTCAACATGGACACTGTCAGCTAAAATGAAAAATCAAAAGTCCGATTATTTGTAAGGTTTGCCAAGATAAAACCTTGATAAATATTCTGTAACTATGGACAAGTTTGGTCGCTGAGTAACTGCACCCATAAAAAGCACAATATTTGGGTGTCGCAACCGCTTCATAATTGCAACCTAAACAAAATGAAAGGAAAGTCAGATTAGTGGATTTGGTCTAGGGAAAATAGATAATAAAATTGGCATTCACCCATCCTCATTTTCATACACCCTTTTCTCTCTTTCATCCAGTTTGCTTATCAATAGTTGAGGAGATAGGGAGATGAGAGTTACCTCCCGCAAAAATTCCTTGAATCGCTCTGCATGGAACTCTTGTTCCATGAGTATCTTTACAGCAACATCCTAAAGTAAGTGCAAACTTCCATCAGCATGAAATTATGAAGGAATAAAACCAAACGAGACAGAGTAATTCAGAAAGATATATCTCAAATAAGGAAAACAAAAAAAGGAAACAAAAGAGAGAGATTAACAGATAAAACAACAACATTTATTTGAGAAGTGGATCAGGCCAAAAACAAAATAGAAATAAATAAACGCCCAAATAATTTACAAAAATTACACTGAATAAATGCTTCTCCGAAGTGCTAAATGAGTTAATTGATATTTTACAAAGACGAGTATCAAGAATGCAGAACTAAAAGGAGATATCTTACAGAACCATTCCAATCAGCACGGTGAACGGTACCAAAAGACCCTGAAATACAACAAACAGTGTTAGGTACATGAGAAGAGGATGCTATGATACTCTAGCATCCCAATATCACTAACATGTACTGAGACAATCATAGCACGAGACTAAAATTGAGGATACAAAAGATAGCAGGCAGGAATTACCTGCCCCAATCCTCTCCTTCAGAACAAGATCTTCCCAGGGAATATCAAAATCTTCTATTTCAAGGGCAATGTCTCTACTTATTTTAGCGGGAACAAGTTGACTTCCTCTCTCAAGAAATCGCATACCATTCCCTATATCTCTTGGGTCTGATAATTGTGTATCTCCATGCAAAACTGGACGGACATACTTCACAGGAGCCATGTCCCTGTCCATGTTCATTGAGCTTAAGATATTTTGAGGACTATATACACTAGTAAATAGTAAGTTGACAGTCTTCGTCATGACCGTTTTACCTAATTGCAGGCACAGGTAACCGAGAAATTTCATCACGGTTACTTGGACCAGTGACAGCACTGTTTCTCTCAATGTTATTTCGGTCAGTTTGTCCTGCGTCTCCATCAACAGCAGCTCCTGTGACAAACAATATTAATTAAGAACCTTGAAACAGAACATGTTTGGGTATAAAATTCAAGAAAAAATCAAGGGAATTAGTTTGTCAAGATAATAATACTTAATTGTATGGGAAGAGGAAAGGCAACTAGATAGACATGCTAAAAGTGACTAAGAAAAGTTAAATGGAATTGTATAATATCTTTCTACTTTTGGTGTAAAGAAGTAGGTTTAGAGGATATAGATCATTTTGTAGATTTATTAAGAAAGCGTAAGTATCTTCTTTTTTATTTTTTTAATCTAACATTTTTTATGGTGTCCAGCATGTCCACAATGCTGAAGAATACACATTTACCAGTTTCAAAAAAAAAAAAAAGCAACTAGGATCATAAAAGCTCCCAGCTTCAGGGCAGGGAGACAACTATTAATCAACTTCTCTAAGTAAATTATAAAGTATAGTTTGTGAAAGAAAATAAAATACAATAATATTAGAAAAGAATGAGAAATATATTCTGTTAGTTTAAGTCATTTTTTAAAAAAAATCCGAATGTCTCAACATCTTAATTTCATCGATTTGAGTCAAACCTTTTGGTAAACATCACAGTAAACCAGAGAATTAGTGAAGAGAGGAAATTATGAAACTATAGGTGCCAAGAAGACCTCTGGGTGTCAAAGGTTCAGAAATGTGGATCTTGTCTAATCTGGAGGTCTCTTTTACCATACAAGAGGTCGAATTGGCTTTCTAAAAGCAAAGACAGTTCTTTTTCTCCCTTCATAAGTTTCTAAAACAGCTCCGCCTTTGCCAATCTCAAGCCCAATAAATGAGGAGGGTTCTAGTAAGTTAGCAGCCACCATAAAACTACTCATTTCACGATGTATCCTCAAAATATGGAATACCTTCGACGTAGATTTCTTTGCCAGTAAAAACTGTAGAGAACTTCTAGTGTTAGAAAACCCAAATAATTGAATTAAGACTGGTCTTTAAGGGAGCAACATGGACAGTGAGTTTCATATAGCTGACCCCAACTACCTTGGGATTTGAGGCATATATTTATAAGTTTCTACAACCATAGATTCTTGGTTTCCACTTTGCTGGGAAAAAAAACTTAAGTCGTCATAAATCAAAACCTATAAAATGGAGGGAAAAGAAACAATTGTATTGTTATCTCCATTATAATTTTACTTTTTTTTTAGTAGGTACAAGTAGTTTTATGGTTAGTGAGGTTCCAGCTTCATTACAGTCAGATAGTAGTGACATCATGTAGAAGGGACAATAGTGAGAGAACTCTGAGAAAGCAAATATGCTTGTAGGTTTGCTCAAGTACAACTAGTAACGGGAATTGGGAAGCCCGGGAGTGAATAAAGTCATGAAACCAGTTGTAAAGAATGCCCTTCAAAAATAGGACAAATAAGTACAGCCAAAATTTTAAGGAAATTCTTATATTATAAATACTAATAAGATTTGAGTTTTTCTAGTATATGTTTAGAGAAACCAAGGATAACCCTTCAGATCCAAAGATAAAAGGGTTAAACTTTTTTTATGAAAAAAATAAAGGAGGAACATTTAACATGAGGAAATAGGATATTTCTTCTTGGCTAGGAACCGAGTAACATCTGTCTGAAGCCATTATAAAATTATGCGTGAACTGAACATCTCTCATCACATTATCGCAGACGCCAAGCTTAACATCCGGAAAACAACCAAAACAAGCAGCAAAGATGTATTTGCTCATGAAAGCAGGTAGGATTTAGAGGATAACCTGCTGAAGAATCCTCAAACACAAGATTAAGCGATTGACAATCCGAGAAATACTGTTTGGCAAGTGACCTGAAATCAGTTGTTGGTTCAACTTCTCTGAATCTCGGAAATCGCAATGGTGAAGAGATTGAGATAGAAGATGGGCCGTTGAGCGAGGAATCTGGTTCGCATAAGCATCCAGGGCTCCCAATCAAATCAACCAGGTACTCCCTGTGTGGTGAAGAGCGAAATGTCAAGACTGTGTTCTCTTTAACAATCAAAAGAAATAGCATATATCTAACTGTGTACAGAAAAACTAACTCTTGCATTTCTTCACAAGAACCACCATTTTTTTCAGGCTAAATCCTAGTTGAAAGTAGCATAGAAAAATAGCATCCTGCTGTTCGCTACACAATATCTAATTTTAATTGCTTATACTTTTTCCCATTTAATTTCTTCTCCTCCACATTTTAGGGCTGAGCAGAAGAAAGGAGGACATCTCTTTGCAATTCAATCACGAACTTTAGAATCTATTATATTACAAGTGTATAAGGTATTCCTTTAATAATGGGATCTGTTCTTTCAAATATTAAGACTCCCATCACCATTCCAATATACTCCTCCTTTCATCCAAAAAGAATGGCAGCATTACTATTTGGAGGAATCAAACAACCTTTTCTTTGACTACGATGTTTTATGTAATCTTTTTTAAAACAATTTTAGCTATTTAAAATTTTTATATATATAGTACTCTTATGCAGTCTCTAGATGTGTAATTTTTCTCTAGAAACCATTCAAAGAACCATGTCTGAATTCATATTGAATGCAGTATGCCACTTACTCGAAGCGCCACCGTTCTTTTTGGCACTGAGGTTACAGTAGTTTATGTTGTAAAAACCAAAAACAAATATGGCTTTTCCAACAACAAAAAGAACTAGGAGGAGCAGCTATCAGGACGAAGGAGAAACTTCAGTTAGTACCAACATAGGTCATGAACTAGATACAGTGACTGATCTTTACAGACCTCTTGCAGCGTTGAATGCAGCAAGACAACACAAAAATATTCAAAACATCATCATTGTCATCTTCCAGACCTGAATATATTAAGTTCCGTTTCTACACATATACTAGCTCTATGCATTTCAAAGAAAGCTTAAACCAGAAAGATTAAGAAATTCAGAAGTTGGCCATATTATACACTGAATACGAGGTAAGATTTAGGCAACACGATCAAAGTCCATATAAATTGCACATGTTATCTGCACAGGAATATATGAGTAGGGAAGGAAAAATTGATTATCACAAACAAAATACATATAAATGGTTTTTGAAACAAAAGGGAAGTCGGAACATCAATTTCCATCTATCATTGCTTTAAATATTTAAACAAACATGGCTAACAAAATAATACATATTTAGTAAAGGTGTCTGTCAGTGAAAGTAGACTTGTCATTACCATTTTCCTCAAATATGCAAGTTTGGAGATGAAATGAAAATATACTCCAAGATCATTTATAATTTGGATTCGCACCTGTCAAGTCCAAATCGAACTAAACACGAGGAAGCATCAGCTCTGTTACAATATTTACATCCTTTGGCAATTCGACATGGTAAATCAATGACGTCAGCTAGCACCTGCAACAATCATGTGAAATTCATGATATCACATCAACCTTCCATAGTACCACCAAAACTAAGAAACTCCTGATTGAACGTACATTTACTCTGACAGAGAAGACAACAATTTGCAAAAAACATGTTTTTTCTTTAGTTTTTTTTAAAAGAACACCATTCATCAGATGCTGATCCGTAAATTCCTGTGTAAGTAAATCTTGAGACTAAATCAGCAAACTAAAAACCAGTATATCACATCTAGAACATACTTTAAATAGCAAAGCTCGATGCCTACAAAGGCCAACAGACAGGCTACCAATGGGAAGCACAGTGGATCCTAGACAATCCTTCAGGTCATAACTACACTCCTTCCACAAAGGAACCAACTCATCTTCTCCGGCAGAAGTTGTGCCCCTAAAAAATAAAACTTAATTACAAAAAGGAGAAAACACAAACAAAGTAATTTACGGAGTCCCCTAGTAAGAAGTTTCTGGCACTTACCCCATATGACTGCAGACCAGCTTAGCAAGCTGATCAACTACTTCTTTTGTTGTGATGCAACTAGGAGAGAGACTATGGATCCGATTCTGCAGTTCTTTCAAGCTTGGATCCGTACGCCGATCAATCAAAATCACTTCAACTGATGGTACTACAGAGGGATCAACAGCTCTCAATGATTCAATAGATGGAACGCGGGCATTTTCTTGTAGATCTGAGCAGACAATCCAGACATATGGATCCATCCCATGGATCAAGTAAAATCCATCAGGCACTTTGTCAAAGTACGACAAGCATCCATTTACCTGGTACAAAACAACGATTCAAAGCAGAAAATGGCTTTCAGCAAAAAACCTAGGAAGCCTGGAAAGCATGATTGAATCGATCAAAGAAAGAGAGATCATAAGAACATAAACACATAACATAAAAAATAGAAACAATAAGCAGCCAGAAAATAATAACATAACGAATAACCAAAAAATAGAAAACAATAAATGCTCTTGCTCGACTGGTGAGAATGACAAGATTCAAAATCATCAATGAAACTATTTATCTAGTTGTTCCTATTTGCACAGAAACACCTGACAACACAGAAGAAGTGATCAACATACTTTTACCATTTTTAGGGACTGATGCAGGAAGAGAAAGAGTTTATTATGTTCACATCCTATGTACAAGAAACCTAAAACTCTCTTCTCCAACAACCAGATTACTATATTCTGTTGAAAACTCCTCTTTCTGGAGAGTTCCCTGTCTTTAATATGATAGAATCTTCGCTAAGTCTGAAAGCATAATTCCAAGGACTCATTGAAGAAAGTAATCAACAATTTGAAGGAGAAAGTATTTCTAATCCAATGACCATCAGAACTACACAAATGTCACTCAACACAGCAAAGACGGCAGGACTATTTAATAGTGTCTATGAATCACAGCTCAGAAGGAGGAACCTATTTTTCTCTTAACTTTCATAATTTAGGACTTCAATGGCCTAATGTTCTAACAATTTGTTCTCAGTGAAGTCCTTCTTGAGAAGCTTCTGGTTAGGGCAGAGGTTAGTTTTCCACATGCCTTGGTCTGAATTTCTAAGGTGCCGAGAAAGAAGTTCTTCTTTGCGTGGTTAGCTACTAAAGGAGTGATTTTGATGGCAGAGAATATTAGGAAATGAAAGGTTGTATACATGAGCTGGTGTTTCCTTTGTAAGGAGGCGGATGAGGATGTGGACCATATTCTGTTACATTGCAAATTAGCTACGAGGTTATGGAAGGATATCTTTACATGTTTGGTGTTTCTTGGGTAGTGCCAAGATCTGTGAAGGAGTTGATGTTCATCTGGAAGAGTGGATCTAGGAAAAGAAGACACAATGTTAGGAATGTTACTCCTCTTGCTTTGATGTGGGTCATTTGGAAGGAAATAAATAGGAGAGCTTTTGAAGGAGTGGAGATGAGCTTAGCTCATTTGAGGAGTAGTCTCTGATCCCTTTCATCAAAAGGAGTAGTCTCTGATCCCCTTGTTTCATCCATGTAGTTCCGGTTTGTATAAAGGACTGGGTGTCTTTGGAGAGAACCAAATTTTGTAGGTTTCTCCTATGTTGGTATACCACTTGTATACGGCCAAGTTGGTCTTGTTACTATTAACAAAATCTTTTACCTTATCAAAAAATAAAATCCATGTTGATTTTGGCAAATTCTCAAGAAAAACAAAGGCCAAGGTCAAACATAATTCCCCAATTCTCGAGATAATTTATCTCCACTACTCAGAAACTCAAGCAAGATACAATGTAATCAAATATATTGGGCGTTGTCATACGCCCTACTATTATAGTGATTATTTTATCAGCTTGAGTAATAGATGTATATCATTGGCAAAAAATTACATTAACACACATGTGAAAAGAAAACTTCTAGTGATGAATTGACGAGCTAATTCCTTCATCTTCCTTATTTGCCTAGTGCTCATGTTTCTAAGAACAACGGCACATGACACAAAACAAATAACGTAAATAATTCTATCAAAATGTTGGCAAAAGTTCATGTATACAAGCAGTATATCAAAAAGTAAAGAACGGTCACCAATAAGGTTACATGAAACAAGAACGCACCTTTCCTCATCATTTTCTTCACCTTCATTTACATGCATCAATTCATATCTCCAATACAAAATACAAGAAAGATCAAACACTTCTAGAAATAGAAAATTGTATCAAAATGAGCCGAATGAGACAATCGGGTAAATTTTTTCACCAGTTGAACTCATCGAGAGCTCCTTTGTGAGGCTTCTAATTCAATACCTAGGTCCTTCGTCTCTACTCTTACTTCCGTAAAAAGAGTCTAGTATTGGAAAATAGATCTTTATTAGGAATATCCACAAAAACCGGCTTATGAGATGCTATTAATGAACTCTTTTTATCAAGAACGGTTGTCATTGATAATAACATAGATACTATTAATGAATTTAGCAAACAAGGCATACATATTGTATCAGCTACCACTTGCTCGTCAATTTTTTATTCCACTCAAAATGACACATTCTTCTCTAACCCAAGTGAGGCCTAGCAGTCCATAAAGTTGAAATCCATTTTGTCGCCCAGTAACGATAACTGTCTTGGCCACATTCAGGAAATATTTCCAAAGGGGTTTTGGCACATTACCGCAAAGATGTCCAAAAAGTTTCTCCACCGAATTTAGTACAATAAGGGTGAAAAACATGGGAGATCAGGATTCAAATCCTAGTAGGAGACACAAAGGACGATAAGTAGTTTCTTCTCATCTGCCTAAGTCTTTAAGCCTTAAACAAAATTACTCAATACTTGTGCTAAATGGAAATAACATGTACTCGATGGAATAGTCGAAGTAAAAGAAAGTTAGCCCGCGCACCAACATTATCAAAAAGTGAACATGTTTGTCTCCGTCTTTTCTTTTGCTTAACCATCTAGTATTCAAAACCCATTGGCATGATTAATACCAATCACCTCACATATGGCCCACTTAAAGGGGTAATGCTCCTTGCCAACAGTTTCTCTATTCTAGAACTCGATGTCAAGATCTCTGATTAAGGGTAGAGACATGTTCTTCTCAGTCATTACAAGCGTCTCTCGTGTCTTTTTGCTTTGATAGAGTAGAAAGGCCCTCCCTAACTTATCATGTAAGACGTGAAGTCATCAATGTCCCAGCTTCCACCTCTTTATTACATTTGCTTGTTGCAATGACACCTGTGAATCTGCTACCAACTACTTCTACTATATACCAACATTTTTGTCTAGATTCATGGTCAAATATCAAGCCTATGGTTAGTAGATATTTGACATTCGTATGATGAAAACAATATTTATATTTTCAATAGTTAATGATTCTTTCTTTGTATGGAACTTTGTCTAGACTTCTGTTAATGTAGAATAGAAGAAAGAGAATGAATGTTCTAATCTTTATGATAGAGCCACTAATCTGAGCATTCAATTTAGTACATAACTTATAATGTCTTAAAAGGGAGGTTAAACTACTTATAATAATTCCACTTTCATCCATCTTAAATTTCAAAGGGTAAAAAGGAGCTACAAACTCAACATGCTCTTACTTGATATGTGAAAATTTCACATTTTTACTCACTTCAATATTTTGTCAAACTACACATTCCTCTTTCCTTAAAGGTAAGTTAACAAATTGTTATATTCCACTTCTTGTCTTCTTCTGTCCTAATTTAACCACACAGTAAAAGACGGCTATTAACTCAACATGCTCGCAATTGATATGTAATAATCCACAAGTTCTACTCTCAATTTAGTTCATGCCAAATAAAAACTAGGCATTCAAATAGTAAGCTAGTGCTTGGAACACAAGAGCCTAACGTGGAAGTAAAGCTTGGTATGCAAGTCATCCCCAAGAAAGAAAGTTTCAAGTATCTTAGGTCTTTATTCCAAGAAAATGGGGAGATCGGTGATGATGTCACACATTGTATAGGTGCAGGATGGAGTAAATGGAAGCTCGCCTCTAGAGTCATGTGCGACAAGAAGGTATCACTCAAATTTAAAGGTAAGTTATACCGGTGGCAGTTAAGCCAACTATGTTGTAGTGGGCGGAGCGTTAACTAGTTAAGAAATCCCATGTTTAGAAGATAGGGTTGTAGAAATGAGGATGTTAAGTTGGATATGTGGACATACTAGGAGGGATAAAATTAGGAATAAAGACATCCAGGACAAGGTAGGAGTAGCCTCCGTGGTGGACAAGATGAGAAGTGAGATAGAGACGATTCGAGAATGTGGAGAGGCCTAGTGAGGACGTGCGGAAAGTTGGTAATAATGGGTTCAAGGAAGTGTAAAGGTAGGCCGAAAAAGTATTGGGAGAGGTAATTAGACAAGTTATGGCGCATCTTCAACTCAGCGAGAACATGACCTTAAATAGGAGGATTTGGAGGTCGCAGATTAGGATAGAAGGTTAATAGATAGTTGATTGTTGTCTCGCTTTCCTACGAGTTACGCTCAGTGGTAATTTGGCACCCCGTGTCTGTTTCTCCTTTAATACTAGTAGTATTAACTTTTTGGCGTAGTTCCTTATTCTACAATTTATGTTACTACCAATTGTGTCTTGTCGTTTGATTATTGCACTATTTTGTTGTTATTATTTCTTTTCCTATATGCCATTTGATGTTTCCTCTAGTACTTGTTATATCTTTTCTCTTCTATATGTTCTTTGATATGCGTTACCGAGTCGGGAGTCTTTCCGGAAACAACTTCTCTATCTCTGTGAGATATGGGTAAAGTTTGTATATACTCTAACCCCAGACCCCACCTTGTGGGACTACACTGGGTATATTATTGTTGTTGGACATGGGTTCCATTTTTACTATGCTCTTCCAATTTTTTCTACTAAACAAAGTACATTGTTTTAAATTGTGATTTGTGACCTTCGGCTTCAAGATCCTTTGCATATTTATCTAGGGCGCCAATTAGTGAATCGTCTTCTTGCCATTTTCTTCTATAATCTATTTTTTTATTGTATTACTTCATTTCACCCTTACATTCCTTCCGACATTGTAAGGTTTAGGAACAAGAGAAACGATCGGAATGGTAATCAACACCCGAAATATGTATGTCATTAGACTTGAACTAATCCAAGTCTAACCTAGGCAATCAACACCCAAAAAAATGAATATTTATGTGTTAGATGCAATACAACAACAAACAATCTCATACACTATAATATTTGTAGATATCTTCAACTCATCTGATCCGAAAATAAAAGCCCTTCCTTTTTCACTTATCCAAACCTTTGTCCACTTCTCCAAAAGAGAAACTTTTATCTACAATCTTTAATTCTTCTCCATTTCCACAAATATGTTTTCTTTTTAGTTAGTAAGCAAAAGATTTCATTAACACATAATGAAAAACATGATTATTGATCAATAACCAAAAGATTTCCATTAACTCCTTGTGAAAACCGTGTAATGTAAAATCCTTTTATCTTCCTTGACGGGTATAGTGTGATCTACTTCATACTAAAATTAAAATTCAAACTCAAAACAAATTAATTAATTCTACTTCTAGACCTCCTTTTACTGAAACACAATTACAAGGAATTTTTTTAATCCTCTTTTTAACTAATTTTATGGAGTGGTCATAAATTTTGCATTAATTCCCATATTGCAATATTGTTTTTGAATATAGGGTGTGTTAGTTGGAAAATGGATTTTAGATTCTTTTTCATCAATATGTACATGATGTACGTGAAACGAGTTTGGGTCTCATGATAGACTGATAAAGGGAATATTCTCGGTAGTTTGTGTCATACACATTGATTCATTATACAATGTTTCAAAAACAGTAAAAGCTAGGTTGCTCGGACTCTCCAAAAATGTGGCCGCACTCGTGTTGGATCCTTCAAAAATACACTATTTTTGGAGGATGTGACACACACCCATCGACATTTTTGAAGAGTGTGAGCAACATAGAGTAAAGGGCCTTAACATTTATTAACTTCTACGTGCTTTACTAGCTGAACTATGTATAAATGAAAGTTCATCGGCATCACAGTTTCCAGTAAGGATATGAGCCTGTAGTAAAGAATTCATGTTAGAACAGGTAAACATATCTCCCTTATAAAATTGTGCTTAAGTTGTAGGCGCATCAAGTGCACTGAGTTAAGGGATTTGATGCATGCATTAGCAAGGGTAAAGACACAATTACCCCTCAAAATCTTTTCCACATCCTTTCCATTGTCCAAAGGGAGGCGGGTCACCGACAGATTTCTCGGTTATAAAAAAAAAGGTATTTTTGTAAATAAATACTCTCTCCGTCTCATTTTATGTTAGGTAGTTTGACTCGGCACGGAGTTTAAGAAAGAAAAGAAGACTTTTAAAACTTGTGGTTCAAAATGAATGATAGAAATTTGTGTGGCTGCAAATCATTTAAGTAAGGGTAAAATAGACATTTTATAGTTAAATAGTTACTTAATATAGAAATGTGTCATTCTTTTTTGTATTGATTAAAAAGGAAAGTAAGTCTCATAAATTGGGACAGAGGGAGTAATATTTTTTTTGAAATATGCAATGCATGTCGTTTTTAATACACCAAACTAAACACTGCATAAGCTCCGCATAACTAATGCAAGCATAACCAATATCAGTATTACTAATACACCTTATTTAGAATTATTCTTATACACTCTACCAAACGATCCCTAAATATACACTGCAGGTTTGAAAAGAACCCATTCCACATTGATGTTGCATTATATAACGAGAAAGAGAACTGACATACAGACTTTACACAAAGAAAACTTCCAATTTCTTTGTGGAGAACAAAAGATGGGCATCAGTTGTATATCGGCTACAACACTTCCAGAGTAGCTTGAGATGTTCGCAAACCTCTGAGAGACTAAAAGCATTAAATTTGTTCTTGAACTCCACATTACTTGACGCATTAGTCTCGACATATTCTAGTATTCTAGAAATATCCGGATGCAGTACTAATATAGAAGCTACTCATCTTTCTTGGAGTTCTGAAAGGATCTAGTAGTTTAAATATATCACAACTATTTAAGTGCACTTACATTTGAAGAAGCACATTCATTTGTCGATCTGTGTTTGGCATGACGGAAAACACTTTCCAGGAAAATATCACCTTACATGGTAAATATGTTTTTTACCCAATAAATAGTGTCTCAGCAAACAAAGAGATGAGTTCCCTTGCTTCTGGACAGAAGTCACTTTCCCACTTCTCCACACTAATACATTATTGTCAACCTTTATTAATACTCAGAAGTATCACCAAAACACTACCATAACACCTTATAGTCCACTTTTTACAACTCGTCTATGTCACCTACATATACCCAACCAAACAGTCCTAGTTGATCCATGGAAAACATTTTCCTCTACATCAAACTGTGACCTAATTCAAAGATTTGTAATCTAAACCAATTCTTGTTTTTTTTAGTACAATGCTAATTGTTCAACGCATACCTTAAGCATAATAGGAACACATTTCCCTCTATTGCAGCTAAATTCATAATTGGATTAAGGCAATTGACATAGAAAAAAAATATAGACGATGAGGAAAATCAACACAAAACAATAACCCAACCATACCCAGAATCGATGGGAAAGGGTCTCCGCCGAAGCAGCTGAAGCTGAAGCACGGGATGCGGATTCATCAGGCACAGGATCCAAAAAATTTGGATCATCAGCACAGGTAGCTTCCGAAGAAAGCCGTAAAGCCAAAGCTAACTGCAGCTGATAACTCTCCTCAGTCTGCTGTGCCCAGCTCTTGGAAGACGAGCCACCGAACAAATTAGCTTCCAACGGCTTCATCCTCACTTCAGCACCGCCACCGCCATCATTGAGATATCCAAACGACGCCTCCGCATTAGACAACGACGGCATGTAATACTCCCCGGAGATCGAACTCTCACCAAAGCTACTCCCACTTGATTGCCTCTGCAAGCCAATCGAACCTGGAAATGCCGCCGCACCGATCCGATTCGGCGCTTGCATCATATTATTACGGTGATCATTCAAATCCCAATCAAATCCTCTATTATCACCTGTTTTTCCTTTACCCTTCTCACCAGAATGAGACTCGTAATACGGTGCTACTCCTCCACCGCCACCGCCAGTGACGGAGTATTTCGGTGGCGGAGGAAGGTAATTATCATCGGCAACTTGACTCAACAAAGTATAATTTGATCGTCGAGTAGACATTTCCATCTGAATAATTTATCAATTCAACAAAACCCTAGCTAGAAATTGTTCATTACACTATAAGTTCATCTCCCTCTCTCTCAAAGACTTTCTCTCACTAAAAGTTTTCTCTCTTCTCTTCTTCTTCTTCGTACTTGTCGAATGAGAAGTGAGAGAGAAAAAAGATGGGGGAAGTCTTGTTTTAGTCGTAATATTCCTGGAATTTTCGACTTTAAGTTACAAGTTTAACTTAATTATATTAACCTCCCCTCTACTTTATCATATTTCAAATTATTCCCTATGTAATTTCAAGAATTACTCTTAGAACCCTATTTGGCATTACTCACTTTTTTCCATTTTCAATCGACCCAAAAATGCTTATAAGCTGAAAAATCATGAGTTGGAGATGATGAACTTATGACTTTTGACTGATTTGAGTTTATAAGCATGTAAGCACTTGACTTATAAGCACATCGGGTATTTATCAAATGCGTAAACATGTCAAAAAATATATACGGTATATGTTAGTTTGATCAGTTTAAAAACTTAGCAAACACCTTATTAATTAAATATTGATATGTAAATTGAAACAACGTGATGGGCCTAAGTGTAATTTAAGAAACAAGCAGATGTGTTTTGAATTATGTAAAAGTTGAAGGATTAGTCTTTGTTGTGAGGAGTTTAAAATGGGATTGTTTGTAGGTGAAACGGTGGATCTTGATTTGTTGTGATGAATTCAAATGAGTTTGTTCATATTTTTTGGACTGACTTATTTGTTTTTTTGCTTTCTTACTTAATTTGGGAAAAAGGATGGCTTTTTGTGTTGAGTTCATAGGAACGGTTACAAGAGGTGAGAAGGATTTTTGGACTTTTTTGTACGCTCTTGATAGGTAAAAGACATATGTTGATAATAAAGTTGAATAAATTTTTAATACTTTAGAAAATCAAGATCAAAGATAGAAGCTTGTATGCGATTTATTGAATTCTTCAATTATGTGTGTATATATTATATAAGAATTCTATTAAATATATCTAGTTGTGAATTCAATTGTTGTTGTAATATTGACTTGAAGTCTATTTAAATTCATAAATTTCAAGTTATGAATCTAAGTTTGTCCAAAATATGTTATATACTATTATTATTATTAAAAAATATTCAATTAGGGGTCGTTTCACTCAAATACATATTATGCATTATTGTCTTAATATAAAAAATGGTAATTAAAGCTTATTCATAACATGTATTTATATCAAATTAATTCAATTTACTATGCTTGTGTGATTTAGTGAATTATTAATACACATTTATAAAATGTGGCTAAGTAATAGAAGTAAATATGTGAATACATGGCATGCATTAGTTAATTTCACGCCCGAAATTAGTGATTTTTAATAGTGAATTAACTCAAATTCATATCAAGATGTCCAAAAAGGAAAAAATATTGCTTTCCATGTCTAAAACTCAAGTTTTTTAATTAAAAATAAATTAGTCATATTTATTCCACCATAATTCTCGATTGTTTTTAATAGTCGGTTATGGATAGTTGTTAGATGGAATAGTGCTGAATGAAAATAAATGACCAAAAAAATCTGTTTTGCGTAGCAATATGAGATTCCCTTCATATAACTAGTGGTACTCTTCAATGCAATTCTCCTTAGTTAATTGTTTTGATAGTCAAAAAATTATTACGAATATATTAGAACATATAACTTCAAAGTTTAGTATAGTACAATATTTATAAGACGAACTAATAAATGTGCATTGTATATTATATATATATGGACTAATAGATCTACAAGAATCACAATTATTATTTTTTGGATGAAAAAATAATAATTCATCAATCTATTAATTCTTCTTATGAACTATTTGTTTGAAAGTGTGATAAAAGATATATATTGATCGTCAATAATATTATAACTTAAAGAGTTTGTTTGGTAGCTTGTTAGATTTATGCAAGTATCTCTATTAATAATGTAAGAATTAGTTGCGAGGGAATTTATATATGTATTCTACACATATATTAGTTATACAAGGTCATAAGGATTAGTTATTCATAAATATATTAGTTATGCATGTATTACTTATTCTACCTTCTATCTTTCACAAAACAATAACAATCCCTCATAAATTTCTATTTCTTGGTTACATATTAAACGTTGTATAAGTTATACATAAAATAATATATAAATAATTTATTTCTTAAATGGCTGTTAAACGATCCTAATGGGTGACATGGTAACCTTATGTTCCTTTTCATAGTTGGGGCTAACAATATTCCTACAAGTATTATTAATGGTCGATCTTATGGAAACAATGTGTCTTAGTGGAGGTCACCACTTTGATTACTTGTCTCGTTTGTTGGGAATGAAGTGACTCCAATATATGAATTTGTTATGCTATGGCTTAGTAATTACTACTATTACTACTATTACTTTGTCAAGTACTAATAATCATTGAAGTACTTTCTTGGTGGTGGTTTGCTATAGATTCATTTAAACACGTTTTTTACTCAAACAATATTATGGATCTAGACACAAAACTTGCATTCTTGATGTTTCGATTTGGTTCTCTAGAGTTTCTAAGTGAAAGTAAGCACAATTATATACTCCATGTAATATCATAGTTGTTGACAAGATAGGTTTATTATTGTCTTGAACATTTATTTTGATTACAAGAAAAACAAAACATTATAAACTCGATTAATAACTTATCTATAAAATATAGACAACTACTTTGATTGAATAAATAAAGGAAAAAGGGAATCGAGGCTTGCCGAGTTTTATAATACCGATCACTACATGAGTAAGCTCTTCATTCTAAAATGTATTTATGATTTATGTTTGTCAGGTTCAACTTTTAAGGTTCTTAACATTGAAAGTATAGTTTTTAAAAAATATAGATAAAAATCTAATATTTATTTTGTCTCGCATCAAAAGTAATTAATGAATTCAAATAAGTTTGCATCTGTCTATGTCCTTAGGTCGACTCTATACACTATAGTCCATAAATTAAGAAAAGAAGTTATTCGCACTTTGCATTCACATTAAATCAGTGGTAATATGATACACGATTACTATTTACTCATCCTCTATTTACACTTCCATCACTTAATTGCATATGATTTATCAACATTTTTTTGCTCGTCAATTTACTAGCGCACCTAATTAATTACAGTAATATTTTTAATAAATAAGTGTGGTTTAATATGAAAATTGAGTGTAATTTTTTTTTTTTTTTTTTTTTTTTTTGTGAAATCATACCCAAATTTGATGACTATTTTGTACCGAATTCAGCCTTTTTGGACCGCATTCATCAATAAATGCCTAGTTGCTTTTTTCTTTTATTTAGATTTATAAAATAAAATAAATGACTAAAAACTATTTACCTCAATTTTATTTGTATATACATTTCTCAAAGAAAATGAAAGAAAAAACATGAATAAGGGTGTTAATTTTTTATACACTACAATTTATATGACTTAATACACTTTTTTTCCCTCTTTAATTATCATTTGCTAAACACATGGTATCCTCCAAAGTTAAGATTGATAGCCCTAAAAAATACTCAACTTGAAGTATTATATTATACTCTTAAATATTCCAACTAGATATACTTCCCCAAATTGCTATATTTAAAATCATATTTCTAGTACTTATTAATACTTAAATTTCCTCAAGTGGGGGGAAGTGTGATATTATTGACATCTTACAATATTTTACTAATTATAAGTTGGATAGCCTTTTGGCCTATATAATTTTTTATGCTCTTTTTTGAAGGGCCTATAAGTAAATAGGAAAGGGACCCATTGTAGAATCATGGAGTTTTTGGCTAAAATCATCCCTCAACTATAGCTCAAATTTAATGTACATCTTTATATCATCTAAGTGAGCAAAAAACATCCTTATACTATCCAAAAAATAACAAGAATCATCCTTCAGTTTATTTTTCTTACGAAACTGATTGAACCAATAAAAATATATATTTTTTAATTTGGTCATGTTTTAGCCACAATGAGAAGATCAAAGTTACTTAAAAGGAACAAGGACATGGATTTAAATTTTGTATGTTGTTAGTTTATATGTTTTTGCATCATCAAGTAAGTTAACTTGTAACAATACGTAAGTCTTGAGATATTTATATAGTAGGTTCCAATGTTTAGAAAACTTATGTAAAAAAAATCAATTTAAAAATATTACGCCCAACTATTTAAAGATTTTCTTTAATAAAATATTTAGTACGTATGTACGTTATATACAATGCAATTCACATTTTATACAATATATAGAAATGCTGGAAATTTAGTGAAATTACGTAGGCGTTTAGTTATGAAAAAAAATACTTTACTTGAAATTTTTAAAGTTGGAGTTGTATTTTGCCATACTTTTTACAAAGAATATTAAGAATTTAAAATATATTTGTTTGAATATGATATAAATCCTCAATTTCTACAAATTAGAAAAAACATCCAACTTGACTAGCTTAACCATGTGTACATATATTTATTCGACTTGACACATTTTTTTTGTTGGCGGTGTGAATTTCTTAAAAAATAAACAAAAGGATGAATCTTGCAACTTTCTGGATAGTGCAAGGATGTTTTTTGTTCACTTATATAACACAAGGATGTACTTTAGGTTTAAGTCATACTTTAGAGATGATTTTAACCAAAAACTCTAGAATCATGATATATAAATATCATTCTGATACAATGTGGTTAATAAGAATTATTTTACATTATAGGTAATTTTCTCTGATATACATTCACAATGGTAAAAGTGATGAAATTTTAAATTTAGTTTTGCCATAATAGACAGGTAAACACATACATGAATGAATAAGAATTGAAAAGAGGATTAAGGTATACTCTGATCTATTTTGTAATATTGAGAAGGACAAATAATAAATAATTGAGCTTGAAATTTGCAATATGAAGTTTTTATGTTTCTCGTAACATTTAAGTTTTAATTAATTGAGATGTAATTATGACGTCAACACAAATACCCTTCGTATTTGGCTCGTGCTGCACATGCTATTTCGAGCAATGTTCAATTCCTTTCTAGCTTAATAATTCATCAAATACAATCAAAATATGTATGTTGCCAGTCCTTTTTATCTTGAGATGCGGAGTCTAATTTCTCTTTATTTTAGTACATTTTACAATGACACTTTGCATTACCATCAAGT